AAAAGAGGGTTCCTATAGGCTTGAAGTCTGGATTGAAGGTTTTGATTTCGTTGAGTATAAGATCCATTCCTTTTGTATCTAAGAATTCTTTAATTGGGATTTTGTGAATAATGATTTGTGCCATTCTTGATCCTTTTGGATTCTTTCGAATTTGATAATATTACTCCAAATCGCTTTCTTTTCCAATAAGAATTGTGATATAAAAGGATTATTTGTTATGATAATGATATTATTATTGAAAAATATAGTTGCTATTGCAATAACTAGCCTTTTGATTTCGATCTTTTGAAAAACTTCATTTATTTTGTTTCGAATAATTAGAGGGGAAAAGGAGGTAGGGTTTGGAAAATCTGGTTTGATTAAGATAATTTGTTTTGGATGAGGTTAGATTTCTTTTCTATATTAATAGATGTAATGTTTTTTCCTTTAAAAACTAAATTCCATTCTCCTTTTTTTGAAATATCAGTATATATTAGTTTTAATATAGTGATAGTAGCAGTAGTAGGCGAAAAAGGTTTAGCTAATGTTTTCGCTTGTGATTCGATTTTGTGTATAGCAATTTCCAAATAGGTAATTTGAGAGGTAATGATATTTAAAGCTGTAGTAAGCTTTCCCTTTTCAGTATATTCTCTAAAGATCTTTAGGAGATTTAAGAGCTTGGATTATTCTTTGTGTAATTGGGAGAGAGAGGAAGCTAGCACTATAAGGTCTTTAGCTTTCAAAATAGCTTTCTTGAGTGTATTTGGATTGTTTTGGATTCTAGATTGTTTATTCTGATTGCTAAAGGGTATTGTAGGGCTCTGTTTCTTATTCTGATTGAATATATAGGTAGTATTGGTTGTATCTTGAGTAATAAAGGGGTCATTAAGTAGATTGAACTCTTCAAATCTTCTTTCAATACTGGCTGGCTGGTTGGTTGATAGAATAGGGCTAGAGATTTCGAATTGAGGGTTTTCAGAAGGCGGGGAGGGCTTGAAGGTATTGGGGTACTTAGAATAATAATAGAATAAGTGATTGGTATAATGGAGGTTTCAGAAGGAGCTTTTATTATAGCTGTATTCTTAAATATTAATGAATTGTTAAAAGAGCTCATATTGAGGATCTTATTCTTATTCTAATAATTCGGAATGAGAAAATTTTATGCGAATTTTTATATATATTTTGTATTCGAAGCACCGACAACAATAGCACAATAACTATTGATCAGAATTATTGGGGGGCAATTGCAATCAATTTGGTTTAATAATTATGATCTAAATCGATTGCGAACGGGTCGTATTTCGAAGAAAAAGTTTCCTTCGAAATTTGTTGTGTGTGATTGTGTCGAGTAGATATTATTACTACAATAACTCTAGCTCCTAGAATAGCAATCTCTGGGATTGCCTTTATTAGTGTTTGTTTGATTCCCTATAAGGACAACTCTATTTTGGTTTGTTTATCAAATCAAAAAAAAAAGTTTTTTGTTTATATATTCTAATCTTAATGCTCCACCGATTACTTGCTTGAATCTATTTGTAGTTTTTGCTTTCACAATTGAGCCAAAGAAAGTAGTAATTACGGTTTTGGGGATTCGAAGTATCCCTATATACATCTGTATAGTTGGCTTTATGCTTTCTATTACTAGCTTCAAATTATAGATTCCTTTTATACCATCTATAATAACTATTAATACTTTATATACCAATTCTCCTACCAATCAGCTCAGATCCTATTCTACAAATTACATTGTGAATTGTACAAAGATTGTTTTGAAATTAATAAATACTAAAACCTCATCTGCAATACACTTCCATTATATATCGATTTTTTTCTGAATAACTATCTTCACAACTATTTCAATAATATTCTAACCACTCTCGAATAAGCTTGAAAAGGGATCAGCGCTTTTGTTGCTAGTTCACATTTTCTTCGAAACAATAATTGAGGAATGGTTATCGAGATTAATCGGGGAGCTCATTGTCTCTATAGATAATAGCTAGCTCTCCGGCTCTCTCTGATTCTGCTGTGACAGCATTCTCGAACCAAGCAGTTTCGGAACGCTATAGCGATTGTGCTGGTATGTATTGTATAATATGATTTCGGGATATCCGTAGATATGGTGTTATGAGCTTGTGTGTGTATGTATGTGCTAGATTAGTAGGAAAAAGCATAAAATAAGGCCTTTTCCCGATATATAGATCTATCCTAATTACTAAAGGACCTTTGGGAAGAAATTATCTTTTAACAAAACCTGCTATTTCTTTCCCTTATAGATCTATTATTCAATTGATTATTCAAATTCATTTTATTTTTAAAAACTATAAATTCAAGATATAATACAAAAGCCTTATTACTCGATTAAATAAATAGTAATTCATTCTCGCTTTTTTTTCTCTATTATAGAGATTGAAGTCTATAATAAATCTATTCACCCAGAAACCAAGCTTCATTTCAATAACAACCTAAATCAAACATACCCTTTTAAAAACAAAAACGAATTGCATCTACAGAAAAGCAAACAATCTTTAGTATTAAAGTTAAATTACTAAACTCAATTATAACAATCATATTACTCAAATAGTTCCTTATCTTAGTATATCTAAATACCCCTAGGGAGATTCAAAACAGACGTTAATTAATATAAATAAATAAATAAATAAATAAAAATTCCGTAAAATCCGATGTATAAGTTTCTTTCGCTACACTTCGAAACATTAAATATCATTTCTTCATCTATTTATTCTTTATTAAAACAAACTCTAGAAAGCTTACTATAAAACAGAACGATAGCTTGTATTATATCATTCATACTTGATATATTTCAAATTGTATTCAGTAGTTTTCTATTTGATCCATTTGTAGACTGGATTTCCATATAAACAAAAAAGGGATTTTCATATATAATATTGATTCTCATCTTAATTCTTTCAAAGCTAGATTTGTAGATTATATTCCTGAGATATATCTGCACGTGATAAGTACTTTCAAAGGTTGTCTTGGCCGTAAGGAGATGTGAGCCTAGGTAACGAAAGTGTGCTTTTAGTAAGTTAAGGGACGTTCCTGGCCCGCGACGATCATTACGTCATTTCCAGTGGCAAAAGATCCAACCATAACTTCAATTCACAACACAACAGAGTTTATTGATTCGAGTAGAACAAATATTAACCACTCTAAGATCATAATGGAACCAGCTATCGTAACTGCCGCCGCTTACGGTGTCGAAACAGCTGTTGAGGGAGGTGTCGCGGCATATTATCTGTCTAAATCAACATTACCTTTAAAAGGACATCTCGAGCATGTGACGACCACCGGTAGATTACCGCGATATGGACATACATTGTCGGTGATTAGTGATAGGGCATATGTTTTTGGCGGTTCTGAGGATGCAAATTCTCAATCCTTGACTAATGATGTCCTTGAGCTTCACGTCTCAACTGATGAGAATACCACGACTGCAGTTTTGCGATCCATACCAGCAGTCGGAGATGGAGATCAGAATACAGCACCTGTACCTTTAGCTCGCACATATCATTCAGCAACCGTTGCTCGAAATCGTTTCTTCGTTTTTGGCGGTAGTGAAAAGCCTTCTGATAGTCCGAAGCCTTTGGAAGAAAATGGCCGATTGTGGGTATTCGACCCATTGTCATCAAAATGGACATTCTTGGATCCTCCTCCAGATACCACATTTCCATTTGCGCGAACGAAACATGTCAGCACATCGAGTCCTGACGGATCTGTCATTTTCGTCTATGGAGGATTATCGTATGATCAAGTGCGTTTGAATGATCTATGGGCATTTTATTTGGATGAAGGAAAATGGAGCAGGCTACCAGATCCTCCAGGGTCACCAACATCTGGAGTTAATCTCACCTGCGGACAAGGAAAATTGTGGAGATTGGGGTACAGCGACGATTCGGAGAAATCTACAGGGTCGATTCCTCGTGGACAAATCGACTTCTTGGAATATCCTACTGGTGGAACTCTGGATGACGTGAGTAAGGACTTGGCTCAAGGTCACATGAACGATCTAAACAGTAACATCCAATGGGAGACATTGGACTTCAATACGAGCAAACCATCTGAGGTTCCATCACCTCGCGACTCTGCGGCTTTGCATTTTATTACTACTGGAAATGGTAGGGATTATTTATTGTTGGCGTTGGGCTCTGATGACAAGGAAGAATTCTCGGATGTTTGGATCTATCAACTCCCACCCGCGCAATACTCTGGCGCAAAGGTGAAAGGCGTCGTACGAGAAAAGCTGCCTGGTGTGGATAGCCATAGAGGAGAATGGTCTCGTCTCCAAATCAGCGGAATAGAGGTTGGCGCAGATGAAGAGAAAGGAGGAGCTTGGACTAGCAGACGATATTTTGGTAGCTCGATGACGGGCACGAAACAGCTTATGATTTGGGGAGGACTTGGCCCTAGGAATGAGACGCTTGGTGATGGGTGGAGGATTATCATTGATTAGGTGTGAGGTTGAGATGGTCGATTTACGTGAAGAAATAGGCGAGGACTTTCTTATCTCCACGCGAATTTTGTGTGAAGAACAGACTATGATGTGAGCTGGCTCTCAGGTCTGTATAATTTCTAAAATTGTTATTTGAGAGTTTCTAGGTACTTGTAGTACTCTCACTGTATCACCACAGAATACGATGCACGATTAGAGACAGCAAAGACAATTGAGAGACAAGTTGATATAAAATAGTGCATAGGAGAGTGATATGATTGTGCCATAGTATGTATGAATATGTTCGGAATTTCGTCAACGCTATTCAGCGTTGAAATGTTCATAATAATAGCAGGGTCCGGAAGAAAAAAGTCGCCGAATTGAAATTGATGTAGACTAGAGAGAGCAACAAGATAGTTTTAAGAGTTGGACATCTGGAAAATATCATGGTTGATTGGAGTTCACGCGTAGGGTACGGCACGGTTGAATTCGAAAAATGTTTAATTGGATAATGTGTATGATGTTAAATTTGTGAGTAGGAAAAGTAGGAAAGGATCGACTTATCTGGCTCCTAAAGAGGAACTATGTCGGAAAAGTCTGGCGGGATGATGACGTTTCTTGAGGCCCTGCAAGCAGGGCATGAGACGGTATCCGGGTTTCCTTTTCGGAACCAGGGAAGGATGCAATCATGATGGAAAATATGAAGACCGCAGAAGACCCGAAGAAGACCTGTGAGCCCACCGACCCCCGGAACATGCACGGATTGTCGACAGATTCCACAGATTTCGTCATCTGGGACATCTGCTGGGAGGACTGGTGCAAGAATCGCGGGGTTGGGATCTGTTTCATCGTACAGATATTCAAGCTCATCATCCGGAATGCCTCTTCTAATCTGTCCGAAGTGGCAAGTTTGTTGTGCGACGTACCAGCCTCGGGTTCTGTTGAGTCTGATGGATTTCAATGCTAGTCTATCGAGTATCTCTTCGGTCAACTCATCTGCACCCTCGTTATGCAGCTGCACTCCTACTTCGTAAGCTTCTCTGCCAGTCTCGGCATCGCGTTCAAAAACCTTCTGTCTTGCGAAAAGTGTTCTTTGCTCTTCAGTGTATCGTGCCCAAAACTCCCGACGAGATTGGATCTCGGCGGGTGTAATTGCTTCCTCGTCCGATCTCCATTCGTTAATAATAGCATCAGTCTCGGGATTCAAGCAGAACTTACAGGATGAGTCGAGGACTGTGGCTTGATTGATGTGATAGGCTCTACATTGGCAGTCAATATATTGACCCTCGAGGTAAGGATTTCTATCGAAGTTTCGGCAATTTTCATGTTCATGCTTGATTCTGGTGATGACGTGGCCACAGACTGTGTGGAATGTCTCGTCAATGACGCAGAGTTCTTGTGCAATTTCCATGTTTAGTCGTGTTATTGCAAGAGTCTGGGATTCTTGGCTTTTGAGATATGCAGATCACTGTACGATGATCCAATATTTATAGTCATGGCGAGAAGCATTGTCCCGAAGGGCGAGTTGAGTATATGATCTATTTATGCATCGTTCTCGACTTATTCTCAATTTGTTTCTAAACTGGTGTGAACAGAGTCGAAACAACAACGAATCCAGATTCGTAGACTTGGGACTGCCGAAGTTTAATTTTGACCTGATATCATCATAAATCTTATAATAAGTGACTAGATGATCTTGGATCTAGACTTTGGAGATTCGACTTGGGTAAACCGAGGAAGCTTTTCGGCGCAATTTGTTGGTTGCAACGTCAAAAGTCAAGAGCCAAATGCTAAAAACCACGAACATCAAGAACATCGTTTAACTTATAAGTCCCATCGCATATGACCAATACTATCACCAAGTCTCAAGCTTTTGATACGTTGACTGCAACGAGATAATTCTGATCGAGGTAACTATGTGCGTACGGAGAGGGTTACACATTAGGGAAACAATGCCACACTGATGACATAATGCAAGATCTTTTCAGCATCTCAAGAGAATCAATTGTTGATCGAAGAAAATCTATACAATGCGTAGGGATACAAGCACAACAAGAACTCGAAGGGACAGTCGTGATCCAGCCATCGTTGTTTAGAAGGAGAGAACGAAAGGCGCCAAAAACTTATGTGGATTAGGTATGTGGAGAATCTTTTACCCCGCACCCGCCACATACCCGCTCGCTAACCTAATGCGGCCAATCATCTCCTCGAAACAATTCTATTGAATCCGAACACATAAAAGTGAGAACTGGGACGATGTACATATTAATTGTTCAATTGCTTCTTTTCAACTGAAAATTTAAGCTTCTATGTCTGGGCATGCCGGTATTATGACAGCCGCGTGAGAAATTGACTTGCGAATGGCCAGACACTCCCAGCTCTGGCGCCACGAATAACAGGTTACTCACTCGCCAAAGTGGCGTCGAAGTTCTCAACAATTCTGAAGTCACGATCAAATGCTCGATGAAAGTGTGCAGAATCAATTGATCAGTGTCAACCTATGTTCAATTGTTCTATCCCTTCCTCAGTGGCGTCGTTCAGTTTCTAGAACTGACGATGTGACACAGCCGCGGCTACATACTTGCTATGCATAGAATAACTCATTGGCTTCACACGATTTGATTTCACACCCACAGCAAAATTATTGCAATCGGCGATGGGATTTGGAAGAATCAGGTCATATACGCATGAGATCAGGTTGCATTCAGCAGGTACAGCAAAAATTCACATGCTGTAAGCCCAGTGGTGTGATTTCCCCAAAACTCAGCCACGATGAAACTATCCGATAGGTCAAAGAAACTATTCCGAACACGAATGTTGAAATGGCTTCCAGTTCTCGTGTCACATTGATAATAGCATCTAACATGACGTCTCACGCGATTTTCCAACTTGTTATATATATATATTGGTCTTTGATGCTAGGTGCGAAGATAATTTCCATACCCGCACCAAACAAGTATCATCGATTCACACACCATCAAAAAATACACACAACACACCTCAACACTACGATCTTCATACAATCTTCATATCGCATTGCAAATAAAACCACAATGACACGCCCCGGACCTGGAATGAGAGGATACTCGGACATTATGAATGCCAGTGATAAAGAGTTACATGGCAATGGACAAAGGGTCGACTTGCCCCATGAGAACATGGGAGCCCATACTCTCTGGAAGCAGAATTCCGAGAGAACAACTCCAATATGGCATCTAAGGGTAACAGTACTCAAGAATGGCGATGCTCGGGGCGATTGTCCAAATCGTGTCTTTGTGAGTCTTCTCATTGTCTCGATAGTGAAGATATTCGTCTACTAATAGTTCTCTTCAGGCATTCAAAACGTTAGAAGACGTCACTCGTGCTATCAATCAAGTTGAAGCTGCTTTTGGAAACACGTTTGAGTTGAAGAAGTGTGGAATTGATTCTCCAGATGCTATGGGTGGAAGAGTTAATGATGGGAGAAGTGAGAATATCACGATTGAATTCGACTCCAATGTGACGAGGGAATCGTGGGCAGAGTTCTTAGCAAGGTTGAAGGGATTGGAGGATGAGTGGTCACATGCAACAGAGGTTTCGAGTCTTTGAAGAGCGGGGGGATTGAGAGATAAGTTAAAAAATAGAATTATTGAAAGGGCAATGATTTAGAAGGAGTGTTGGGAGGCAGTATCAATTTTGGAATAACGGGACAGTAGAGGTTAGATGAATTCACATCTAACTTATGAAGAGTAGTAAAAGCGAAATGGTAGCAGAAATTAATCTCCCAGCGAGAGACTAAGTTGATAAAAATATCTTATTATGTATCGTACAATGAGCAAGAAATGAAGATTTTAGCAAGACCAAGCATTTTCTTATCCCAAGGCAATTAGTGCTCCAAGCATATGCCCCCACCACAGACCCAACGCCGGAAAGTATATTATGCGCGCGGAAGACCCTGATTTCCGCCGCCTGCAAATCCCTGAAAAAGACCGTGTACCCCCCGCTCTCCGAATTATGTACATCGACGTCTAGAAGATCTCTGGGTATCCAGTCGTGATTCCCACATCACAACCACCATGCTATTCATACAAAATTGATTGAACCTTACCTTTTCACAATCTTTTTTCCTTATCATCCCAGCTTTCTACCAGCACTACCTTCTCATCGCTGAACGGGTTGTGGACATACACCTCTTTCTCGTCGTAGTATATGGTATCGTTCCTGGGTTCCGGCATTGCACTTCTCATGTTTTGATGGGATCTGCGACGAGACATATTGAGGGGTCTAATTGATATCGAATTAGCATGCTATTATCGAATGACCAATCCAAGCTGATATACTTACAACGGAGGCAAAGGCTTCTGTTTCTGAACAAGAGCTTCCTGTGGCAAAGGTGGCAACGGTTTATCGTAAATATAAAATACCGTCCCGTCACATGGACCTGAATAGCTCAACCGCGATTCCCGGGCTCGAACTATTGGGGGACATGGTTCTGTGGTAAGAGTAGTGCCAGTATAGGCAGAGAAAGTCGAATCACAAGAATTACGAGAATAAACTGAAGAGCTCCGGTTGTGTTTTGGGCCGGGCGAATGAGGCACTTGGAGAAGTACTAGGTTCGACATCGCGATATATTGTAGCTTTCTCGATCAAGTTTATTTGTTTAGATGGGTTTGTTCACTTAGGTAGGTATTGAATATGTGTTGAGTTGTTATGAACAATCTTCCATAACTCTGAGCTGGGAGGACTTTCCATCTTATGTATATCCTGAAAGCTGAATACGTGATCTACCATGTCGTACGACGACGTTACAGTAGGATTTTCTCGCACGATCAAGCCAAAATTTTTATGATGTTTGGGGCGCAGAAACAGAATCCTTCATGATGAAATACTCACCATGAAATACTGAAAGTCGCCTTGTGGATGAAGGGGTAGGATTTAAAGTTAAGCTTTGGCGAATGACCGATGACTCGACAACCCTGCATTCCGGAGCAGTCAAATCCTAAATCTCACCCAAAATTTTATATATAGAAAATGTTTAATTGTTTCTGTTATTTTGTAAGTTCTTTCCATGAATTGAAACGTGGCGTAGATAAGGAGTGTTGTTTTTGGAGAGGCAGAAAAAACTGTTGACGAGTAGGAATATCGTATTCAAGCCGTTTCTTTTTGAATACCTTGAAGTTGGTATTGCCACAGTATGAAGTCTAACACGGCTTGCAGTTGATGGCCATTTTGATCTACCTTCCAGAATCCGGGGTTTTACGGCCATCCCCAGATTCGACTTATTCTTAGTATGACAACAGCATAAATCGAGATTGGTTATGATTCTCTCATTGTTCGTGGGTTCCCGTTTCCTCTTGTCCTCTCTTCCTGGCTCACATTCTACAATAGTGAAGAGTCGTGAGATCCCCGTGTGAAATTTTGCACATCAAGTTAGTGGGTAGTAATCTGCTCTTGATGTCACCTTGTGGTTAATATTGTGTCCCAAAAATCTTTGTGTCTGTTTTCTGTGTACCAGATGGACTTCCTCTGTAACTTCAGTTGTTGAGTTGACAACGACAACATATACTACCTATCGATGTGTATTTCGACGATTATAATCGTTGAATAAGGCTACTTCATTTTTCATTCACGATGGGTAACTGTCTCACTCGTCTGGAGGCTGAAATGGTTTCGCCTCCTCCCATTCCTGGAGATTGGAAAGACCTTGGACCTCGAAAAGCTATCCTTCGCAGTCCACAGCATGTACAGGCTAGAAGAAGATGTAGGAGAGAGGGTAGGAGTGATAGACATGAAGAGGGGAATAGACTGCTTTTAGCAAGAAGGGAAACATCGAGTGGCATTGAGGGTCTAACCTTTGATTATGCGGGGAGACCTGTGTAAGTCTATAATGTTCCTGAAAATATCAAATTTACTAGTGCTTGAATTTCTTGCGGTGGCTAATAATGACGCTTGCGTATTAGTTGGAGGGACCCAAGACTGCAGACGCACGACTCCGATGACAGTGATGTTGCGAAGGCTGAGGATATTGAGGAGACACTATAGAGTTTCAAGATCTTAAACTCGTCAATGAAGCTGGCAGAGACTTGCGATACGAATTCACAACTATGGTTCACCTCCCGCTGGGCATATAGCATTATTTTCTTTCATCTCTATTATCTTGAACTTTGTTTTGTTTGCTATTGCAAATGTCGTGTTGATTTCCAAAACCGTATAGAACTTTCACCTTGATTACATATTTGTTTGTCAGTAGAGACGACGGAGTGAGTGACTTCAAATCGCGCAAAAACAACGCTCATACAGTGAAGGCTGTATCATGGTATCATAATGGTTTACCAAGATATCGTTATATCCTACTAAGCTATATCGTCTAAAAGCGCCAAAAGCTGCTTTGAAATACATTCCGCAAACCATTCCAACACTTGCAATCTTAACTCTAGCATTAAAGCTTCGATTATCCTTGGCGAGTTCCTATATCCCACTAGCAGCAAGTATCGCCGGTTGCTCCAAAATAAAAGCAGGCCCAGCAACAACAGATTCCTCCGTAGGTGCATTCAACTCATCCGCAATAACTGCCAAGATTATACCCTTCAACTCTAGATCAGAAGGGAAAATCGAGCTATTAGTAGCAACATCGTATGGAACCGAGATTATCTCCAACCCGTGAAAGAAAACAGCATAATAATCTTTCCCCTCTTCAAAAACCGGCATCTCAGCCCCATCACTACCTTTCTCGTACACAAATGTCAGATTTCCTCCCGCAGTAACATTCTCTGGGGGTTGCAATTGAGGTAAATGTTGACTGGGAGAGGGATACTCGGGATTCGCACTTGGACATGAACCATCAATAATAAATCGGTTCGTCGAATCTAAAATTTGATTCGCATACGGAAAACTCGTATCAATTGGTCCGACAAACGGATCAGCTCCCCAAACAGAGATTAAAGCCCATGTAGTGTGTCGAGTCTCCGTTTCTCCAATTCCCATCAAGGCACCCTTCGTCACATTCAAGTTTGCTTGCTGCACGAGTCCAGCCGCAAATGCCATACTTGAGATTTCAATCAATACTTGCATCTCTAGAAATTCCGTGGTGGTGCTCCAGCCAAAATCGTATTTGCATGCGCCAGGTTTGATCGATGTGTTGGATATGGAGTCGTGAAATATTCGGAGATGACCAGCTTCATTATCGCGGATTTCTTGGATACGATCGTAGGCGGTGTTTGGGAATCCGATGGATGTGAATGATGTAGTATTTAGAGCTTCGACGCCTTGTTGGTAGAAGGAGAATACTGCCCATTCTGCTGCCAGAAGATTCTGAAAGAGAAGATCATCAGGTCCCGGTGGACCACTTTCTGTTGGTAAGATCGGCAATGTAGAATTCCCTGGAAATGGAGCAGTTTTCCCGCAATATGAACTATAGTAGTCGGTTTCGCTGGGTATAGGACCAGTAGACGGGTCTGAGATGTTGAGAGATGCTGGAAGGCCAACAGATAGGCTCGTCGAGACTAGGATAGACAAGAAGACAAGTTTGGATTGCATTATGAAAAAATACAAGCTAAAAGCGTAATAATCGAGAATTTGGAACTTGGTATGAGTGATTAAGTTGGAAGAATGAAAAAGATTGAGATCGGTGTTTAATATCTAACAAATGAACCTCTCTTATACAGATCCAAGTATCCAAAAAAAATGACAAGCTTAAACAGAATCATCTTTCTAGCCATCGTCGTCGATTTTCTAACCTATGCTAATGTCCCTCCCAACTTCGTATTAATAACCTACTACGAATTGCGAATTACAATTCTCGCAGTCTACGAAAAGATTACCCAATAGGTTTCGCAATCGGCAACAAATGCCCCAAGAAAACAAGCATCAGCTATCGTTGGCTATATAGATCAATTGTCTCATTTTCATTTTTCGACTTTTTTTTTTCCTTTTTTGAATATTAATATTTATTTAATTTAATTTATAATATAAATGTCACAACGCCAACTATATAATCTGTAGTTACCTTTATACCTCAAATATAGAATACTAGTGCGCTCTATTTCCTATAAGTAGAGCTTCACTTTTCTATAGCTTTTCTACCCTTATAATATAATATAAGTCTTTACCTGTATCATGACAATTTGTATTATTATCAAATAAGCTATTATAGCTTTATTTCCCATTTTATTTCCAAAATCCCACCAACACCTTATTCCAATCGCATCGATCACATCTACTATTAATCCATTGTATACCCTGTTATCAATGTTTTGAGCTTTAAAAAGCATTAAAGATAGGTAAATAAGCACCTGCACCAGAAATGTCTGTATCTAATCTACCTCTACAATTCCTTTTTTTAAATTATGTTCTCAACTCTACCAAAACCAATATCTCTCCCTTTACAGATCTATTCAATAACCCAAATACTATACACTTCGCCGTCGCTCAAACTATGTTTGAATTGATTGAATCAATCATGGGCTCATTACAAGCCCAAACTATCACTATTCAAATTCAAACTATCAATACTCAATCAAAGATTATTGAATTGAAAAATACAATTGAGATATTGAAAATTATTGTTTATAATAATTTGCAAACTTCATCTTATTGCAAATATCTCATTGCTTTTGAAAAGTTTAGTAATGATAAGCAAGATATTACAAAGTGTTAAGATCAGTATACAATTTTTCGTAATACAATCAATTACTACTTAACTACAGATTATGAAAATAAATTAGAATTTCAGAAAATTATATTTCTTGTTAGCTTACTTTCTAGCCTTGCTTATACAAACAATTAGATACACTTTGATACAATTACAGACAACGTGTATAATTCCAACCTTTGGCCTTCTGAATGGCATATTGTAATAAGTATTTGGCGTGAATTAAATAAGCAATACTAGATTCTAGATCTCTTATACAAAGTTTCTATAGATTATAATAAATGTAAAATAAAGAAAACCCTATTTGATAACTTTATTACTGAATTCAAATAGCTTGCTATTAATATAAGAAGACTATCAAACAACAAATCGCTAATCTTAAACTCAAAGTCTTATAAAAACTAATTGATACTTCAATTAACCACCCCAATAAACCTTTTACCATTAATATCAATATATAAATAGTCTGGTGGCAAGGTATCTACAATGACTTAGAGAAAAGATTTATTTTGACAATCAATATAAGAATTAAGATATCAACTTTAATAATCAAAAAAAACCTAATGAAAAGAAGTCTGCTATCGCTGCTGTAATACCTACGCCTAATTCCTTTGGAGATTTTATGTAACTGGATGTTGCTTACCAAGGCTAGCAATTCTTATTATGTTACAATAGAGAAGAATATCTAAATCTTAACCTCTACCTTTATTACAAAAAGTCTGGTTATATTAAATTCAATTGCAAAGAAAAGTGATGTAACGATGTAAATATAATATCAACTCAGGAATTATACAATACCCTGATTATTCCCCTACTACAAATCAAACATGCTTCGAATATCCATCGTTTTCCCATTATCGATTACTATCATAATTCCAAACCCTATCACAATGCTTATAGTCTTACTTACCAGAATACATTCTTACCTACTAATTGTTTCCCAACTGCCACAGTATTATTTCGATACACTTTTTCAGTTTCTACTGGTAGTAAAAAATCTGGGTGGATTTGTTAAAGACTTTATACATTCGGATGATAACAGAAATTCAATTTTTTAGTTAAATATATTAAAAGATTAACCCTCGATTTATAGTTGTAAATCAAGATTCTTTATAAAAAGTTGCCTTTATGAATTAAAAGATGAATGATATTTAAAAATCCCTTTATATCTTAAAACAATAAATAACAAATTTTTTAAAAATCTTAACGGAAATTTTCCTTACACTTAATGTAATATTCTATTTATTGATTTAATAGATAGTGGAGTTGTAGGATATGGGTTTATAGATAGAATCCTTATAATCCAAGCTTGATATCTCTATACATCCCCTTTCTACTATTCGCAACCTATTATTTGTAAACAGAAAAAACTTCTAATATTCTATCTCAATATATATTATTAGATCTACGGATTAATTTATTTATTTATTTTTATTTATTTATATTAATTAACATCTGTTTTGGACCTCCCTAAGAATATTTAGACATACTAAGATAAGGAACTATTTGAGCGACGTAATCGTCCACAACCGAATTTAGCAATTTAACTTTAATACTAGGGGCTATTCACTCCTCTACAGGTACAATCCGCTTTTGTTTCCAGAAAGGAATATTTAATCCAGATTATTGTTAAAGGCAGAGTTTGGTTTTTGGGTGAATAGGCTCGTTATAGGCTTCGATCCCTATAATAAAGAAGAAGAAGTAAAAGTAGATTGTTATTTGTTTAGCTAAATATTTATTTATTTATTTATTATTTATATAATTAACATCTGTTTTAGACCTCCCTAAGGGTATTTAGATATGCTAAGATAAGGAACTATTTTGAGCGGTGTGATTGTCACAACCGAATTTAGCAATTTAACTTCAATACCAGGGGCTATTCGCTCCTCTACAGATACGATTCGCTTCTGTTTCTAGAAGGGAATATCTAATCCGGGTTATTATTGAGGCAGAGCTTGGTTTTCCGGGTGGATAGGCCTTGTTGTGGGCTTCGATTCTTATGGTAGAGGAGAAAAAGCAAGAGTGGTTACTATTTGTTTAGTCGAGCAGTAGGGCTCTTATGTTATATATTGGATTTTACGGTTTTTAGGGGTTAATGTATTCAAGTGATTAGTTGAGTGATGAGTTTATAAGGGATGGATAGCAAGCTTGTTGAAAAGATTATTGCTTTCTAAAGGTTCTTTAATAATTAGGATAAATCTGAGTATAAAACTCTGAGTTAGTATCAACTGAATAAGCTTGTTAGGTGTGTATAAGAGTTTCTTGATATATATGATTGCCTGCTTATTAGATTGCATTTCTACAGGGGCAAGAGGTTAATCTGAACGCTTTAGGTTGGTTTATAGTACATTTAAAAAAATGATATGGTTTCTTAGCACTGCTGTATAAGTAG